GACAGATTTATTTAAATTCGGAAATTCTTCAGTGCATAGCACTGCTTTACAAGAAAGCCGAATACATATACAATATTTAGCTAGAAGCTGATGATGTGATTATTGCTCCTTTTTTAAACTGACTCAAACTGTTGCTGCATTTTACATCTTCAGGTAAAGTATTCCACAATTTTACCCCTGAAAATGCAAAGCTCTTCTTTAAATATTCAGTTTGAGGCTTTGGTAGTACAAGGCATAATTTTCTATTTCTTAATGTATAAAACAGACAGACAGACAGACAGACAGACAGACAGACAGACAGACAGACAGACAGACAGACAGACAGACAGACAGACAGACAGACAGACAGACAGACAGACAGACAGACAGACAGACAGACAGACAGACAGACAGACAGGCAGACAGACAGACAGACAGACAGACAGACAGACAGACAGACAGACAGACAGACAGACAGACAGACAGACAGACAGACAGACAGACAGACAGACAGACAGACAGACAGACAGACAGATGTATGAACGGACCGACAGGTACTGGTTGAATAAAAATTTTAATATACCTCTATAAATCCTCCTTTAGCAGCAAGTTGGAGCGGACTATTACCATCCTCATCCATTTGGGTTATCATCTTTGTATCTTCTTCTGACTGAACGATATATAATTGTGTTATTAATCGACTGCGATGTCCGTACTGAAAAATATTTCACGCGTTTGAGACCTAGGAAAAATATTTTTTCTCCACATGTAACTAAATCCCTAAAAAATCCAGTGTTCCCTCCTACATTTGAGATCCGTAGGTGTTTGTTACCAAATTCGATCCAAAATACTGTTGACAAACTACTATCATGGATTGTAAAATAACCGGATAACAAACTTCCTGACGTCATTGACTGCCTCCTTGTTGAAAAACGTGACGTCACACGTATTGCGAATGTTACCAAAGTTCTCGGCATTTTTGTTGTTTCGCTATATTTTCCACTTTAAAAGGATGATATTGAAGCATAAACTGCTCTAATTGTTTTAAAAACATGCCTAAGCCACGACAAAGTATTCAAGGTAAATGTTTTTCGTCTTTGTTTTGTATTTTTTTTTACATTTGTAGCTACGAAATTGGCGTCACAAATTTTAACGAAATTTGCGATGTATTGAAATTTGGGAATACTTTGAGTTTTCATCGTAGAATGGCGTGGTTATATTTATTTGCTCTTTGACTAAAATGTTTAGCTGTATTATTGCTAAACATGCCGTTTTTGAGAGTTTGGTTTTCAACTAGGTTGAGGCATCCAACCACGCCATCAACCAATTAAAAACATTAGGTCACGTAAGCTAATTTCCTATCCATTTATTTCATTATCCATGCTACACATGTAGCATAGTTTTTTCAATGTTTTCGCATTTTGTCCGGAATAAATTACATTTCGGGCTTGACACAAACCCCATTGAAACTATTTTGGTTAATATTCTTCTGTTTGTTATAGTCAGAGGACGTTTTCAACTTTTTGGGTACTCTTTTTGAGAAAGAAAATTGTTTCACTCCTCGGTTTGTTCTGGCGCGAACCGCAAGAGGTCCATATCGTGTGATACGGACCTCTTGTCGACCAATTAGACGTTTCCATTTACGTTACGGACCTGTGGATAGGAAAAAATTAAATACGGTTTGTTTCAGTTGCATGTGATTGTGTAAAACAATATGTGTGGTCTTCAGAATCAAGGGAAGACTTGCTTAAACGAATTTTGACTCACGAACCAAGCTACATGTATATAATAAAAACATTACTAGAAATCGTTCAAATAGAGAGTAATTAATTTGAAATGAATATATTGGTGCTCCTCTGCTACTACATCTTGTCGATGACAGATCAATGTTTCAAAACTCAAAAACGACTTGTTTTCTTCTTTTGCTATAAAAAACACTTGTAAAAGTATTTAATAACCTACCTTGACGTTCATCACAAGAAAGTGAATGATTTCTGCATGTTTAACAGCATAGTGAAAAACATTTCTTCCTTTTTTGTCACACTTTGACATAGCTGTTTCCCCACTTTCAATACTTAATAACATCATCACAGTATCCAGTTTATCAGCTTCAACTGCCCTGTGGAGAAAAGACATACTTATAAAAATGTTTGTTTCTTTTGTAAAGAACGAAGAGGAAGGAATTACTGAGATAAGAGCCATCTATATATATTTGAATTTTTTGTATTCAATTCTTATTCAATGATCATTGATGAACTTCAGATTTTGCTAAGGGCTTTCGTTTTCCCGGGTGTAAATAGCCGGGCGGAATTAGTACCCTCGCGCTCCACGCCGTTGGTTCGGGGAAAAATCGTGTTTCAGGGAGTCACTTTAAATTAAGTATGAATGAATTATTGAATGAATGAATGAATGAATGAATGAATGAATGAATTTAATTTGTCACACAATTGTCAAACAGCCATGCATGAAATTATAATAAATTACGATAATGGATGATATAACTTATAAAAAAATATAATTTTACAAATAGTATTATGTGACGAGGTTTGATTTGAAATCATTAGGCTTATTCAATACCAAACCTACACATATTTCTAACTTTTAATTACAAAGGAATAATATAAATTATCAAACTTATGAATATGAATACAGATATGCTAATTAATCAATATAAGGTGAACGCGCAAGTCATTTCAAACATACGGCATATCCATAGTGTTACACACGTAAAAACGCACAAAGTGTCACAGACCTGCAAGAAAGTTGTAACAATTAGTCCATCATGAAGTCGGCAAATATCAGCATGCAATCCCAGTTGTTGTGAAAACTCTGGAACAACTTGTTATCACAAGATTGATGATGGTAGGAGGCTGGCAACACATTTTTGCAAAAAAGTCTAATATCATCTGCAGGTAACAAGTTGCTTACTCGTAACTTAATTTAATTTAATTTATAAACTTTGCCGATGAAACAGTACATTACATGACAGGACAAAAACAGACGTACATAATGAAATACAGTAGGTACATGACCACGGCTGGGTGACCGCAACAGCGAATAGCCAATTACTGCGGGCCCGACACAAAACTATCGTTACACATATATATATATATATATATATATATATACACATACAACATACGTTACAGGTGTGATCTTATTTACAGTTCAACTGCAACACGATATTAGACGTAACAGGCTTCGAATACACATTACATTTCAGACATATACTCTTAAATATTCGAGAGTTTTTAGAATCATATATAATTAATGTTCAGTGATGTAAAGTAATACTTGAGCAAATTAAATCTGATTTAAATACAGAAATGTAGTATCCTTAGTGAGGTTCAGTTCATCTGCAAGATAATTCCAAACTCGGCACGCTCTTACGAGGAAAGATTTTTGGTAGGAGGTAGTTCTGCATTTAGGGATGACATATTTCAGTTTGTTTGACGAGGTTGATCGGGTTGCTCTACGAGTGGCGAAGATAGCTGGCAACACTTGGGGATTTAGCGTTACTAGACCATGTGTGATTTTGAAAAACATGATGAGGTCCAAGTATTCGTGCTAATAGCTTACTGGAAGAAGATTTAAAGACCGTAACCTCGATTTATAGTCAACAGTTGTGCTAAACGGTAGATTTAAGATGTATTTAGTAGCACGTCTTTGTGTTCTTTCGAGTTTACTTATAAGTTCCACTGACTGTGGTGACCAAACCTGTGTTGCGTAGCCAAAGTGCGACCTAACCAATGGCAGGTATAACGCTCGTCTGGCTGCAGTATTTTGAATAAACAAGGTGTTCCTTCTAACATATCCCAGAATCTTATTCGCTTTCGCTGTCTGCTCGTTCACATGTTTTTTTCCACGTTAAATTTGATGACAGCCACACGCCAAGGTCTCTTTCGTTGTCAGTAATGGATATGATTGAGTTGTCCAACTTGTACGAGGAAGCAACTGGTGCTTTCTTCCGCGTTACTTGCAGGAACATTGACTAGTATTTGTTCCGAACTAGTCAACAAATGAGAACAAGCAGTGAGAACACATGTTGTTCCCAAGCTCTATTATTTATACGCTAGTGCCCCATTTTTAGGCCTACTTTGGGGGCCAAGGTCGCCTAATGTCGCCTAATTTCGCCCAAATTCGCCCATGTGCACCCAATTTTTTAACTTTGCCTAACAGTCTATTCGCTTAATGTCGCCTAATTTCGCCTAATGTCGCATAATCTCGCACAAGCATGCCCAATTTTGCACTTTGAGTTTGTCGTCCATTCTAGCCTATTCCTTATTTATTTGTTAGTTTCCTGCATGTTTTTTGTTATAAATACATGTAATCAAACACCAAGGGCATGTGCTGTTAGGGCACCATCTCTCACCAGTACTAATGAGGCTTGGTTATTTGGGTTTATATGTATATGGAATTACAACGCATCATTCCAATGAGTATTACCTAAATTATGTTGTTAAGGTAGCCTTCTGGCTATCTTCTCCAATGTGTTTCTTTGTGAAACTCAGTCAAATTAGTCAATCACACGCCATTAGAGACTGGTCATAATTTAGCAGGAGGGGTGGGGAGGTGGAAACAGTGGGGGGTCACATATTTTTTAGCCAGGAAAAAGGGGAGTTCATAAAATATTAGACAGTTTATGAAGGCAGGGAGGGAGTCTGCTGTTTTAGTTCAATCAATTGTTTTATACATGTCTGCTCACATTTTGTTCTTCTCACATAAGAGAGGGGGAGGGGGCATTATTTTTCCGGGTTAGGGAAAAGCAGGGTCACAAAATATCATTCCTTACAATTTTGAATTACACCTCGCCACCCCCCCTGATAAATTATGACCAGTCTCTTAAATGTTGTATATGAAATCAAACTTAGATCTTATTATCAAGGATACATTCATGATAACTGGCGAGTGCTAAAGTACAGAATACCTCACACTAGCCTAGTGAAGAACACTAGGTATCCTAAAGGCCGAAACGGTACCGTCTGTAGTTATAATAAAGAAAGTCATCTATACTTATTTAGTATGTTCAAAATACGACTTTGTAGTTTGTAAAATAAAATTACTTACTTTTCGACCAAGCTACGACGATCGACATCTCATAATTAGGTATCATCGCAAAAGATACAGAGCAATGAACGCACCACAGAAAGATCTACGGTACAGGTTATTATAAAATGTCGCCAAGGCCTGCCATAATCAATTATTATGTTTCCTTACACGAAGTAGTACAAGTTAGAAGCTAAACTATTAAGAGCGACTGTCTACAAAAATCAAACAAAATGAGAAATATGTGGCAAGGCTCAACATTTTAAATTCGCTCTACTTTTGAATATAAGTTGACTATGGTGAAGTGAGAAACGTTATGTGGTTAGTTTTTAAAAATACTCTTTTGTTTTTGAAAAAAAGCAAAAAAATGTTTCAGCTGTGAGGACCGATTTTCGCAATCGAAAAATGGCTGAAATTGCGTATGTTTACTTAATCCTGGTATCCAAACCCTAAATCCAAATAGCCTTATTATACTTTCTGTTAAAGCTACATCACTCCTTCGTTTATTAATAGTGGTTTTATGATAATTGAACAACTGAACACATTTGTGCACAATAAAGAGCGACGGGTACTGATTTTTAATGTTTGTCATTGCATGTAAAAAGTGGCAGATTTCTCCATTTGCTATCCTTTTAAATCTTGTGGGATTTTGTACAAGCACTATTGGGAAACTGCCCTTTTCAGAAATGTATTATTTATTTTGGGCAAATAAATTCACACGCTTTGAGAAAGAGTTAACTTTGGTTCATTAAATATGCAAAATCACTGTTTGGCGATTGCGTGACTAAAAACCCTTTGCAATAAACTCACTTAAAACATCATTGTTCTTCACCTTTAGTTTAGAGAATTTGAAGAAAACATAAATATACATACCTTGAATGCAAAAAGTTCCTTTGAGCTGTTCCACTTTTGGAGTTTATCCCTAACTTAACTACATATTAAACTCAAAGTTCAAGGAGTCCAGCTAACAGAAATCGGCTAACAATTTACACAACTCCATTCGTATTCCATTTACAATTGTTATAGTTAAGCCAATAAAAAAAAAAATAAGCCATGCAGAAAAGAGTCAAGATTAATATTGCAGACATTATATTTTATTCATTATATTTTATTCAAAAAGTATTTACATTTATAATTAGATGATGCGGGCTTCCTGTCGATTTGGCTGAAGCAATGCTACTGCAGTATTGATATCTCTGCGATCAAATGAATAATCTGTGCCAATCCGTGGCCACTATTGGACCAAAATAGCAGCGTCTAGAGAGTGCCATTTCCTTCGAAACCACTCTGATCAGTCGTCAGTTCAAATACCAATATGCTGACTTTTCATGGAAGTTTAACTGTTTAATATGGGGTGCTCGTGACGGATATTAATTAATCATATGCATGATAACAATAGCATAGCGGCGTGCGGATCGCATTTTTTCGACAATAATCCACATAAAAACAATATTAAAAATACAAGTAATGCATCACAGTGGCATTACTTTCGCCAAATCGACAGGAAGCCCGCCAGCTATAATGTAAACATTTGGTGACAAATAGCTTTTTCAATATGTCCGTAAAAAATAAAATAGAATTTCTGTAATATTAACTTTGACTGTTTGTTTCTAAGAATATTAATAATTGTAAATAAAAGTAAATTACAGCAATAAAAAAAAAACTCAATTCGCAATAATCCACTTAATAGAAAAAAAATATTAAAAAAGAAATGACAACATTACAGTAATACATCGCAGTGGCATTACTTCCGCTAAATCGACAGGAAGCCGGCCGCCACCTATAATGTAAACATTTAGCTTTTTCGATATGTCAGTATAAAAATAAAGTAGAATTTCTGCAACATTAATTTTGACTCTTTGTTTCTAAGAATATTAATAATTGTAAATGGAACACGAATGGAAGTTGTGTGAATTGTTAGCTGATTTCTGATAGATTGGATTCCAAGAACTTTGAGTCGATGTATAAGGCGGAGATGTAAACAACCGAACGGTCGACAATATTAAATTCCTGGTATGAACTCCAAAAGTGGAACAGCTAAAAATTTTTTCATTCAAGGTATGCATATTTATGTTTTCTTCAAATTCTCTAAACTAAAGGCGAAGAACAATGCTGTTTTAAGCGAGTTTATTTCAAGGGGTTTTTAGTCATGCAATCGGACCATTCGCGTAATAGACTAAATTTTGATCTAAACAAAAATTTCATCACACCTTGAAAGAGCATCACAAAATTAGCAATATTCCAAAATTTCGTTGCGAAATGTTGTAAAATGCGGATAATATAGCCCTGCGAAGTTTGCAATTTTCAGTCATTTTAGACTGATTACAAACGGGAAATTGACAGCCCGATACGCTTTGAGGCTGTCAATTTCCCGTTTGTAATCTAAAATGACTGAAAATTACAAATTTTGCAAGGCTATATTATCCGCATTTTACAACATTTCGCAACGAAATTTGGAAATATTACTAATTTTGTGATGCTCTTTCAAGCTGTGATGAAATTTTTGTCTAGACTTGTTCAGATCAAAATTTAGTCTATTACGCAAATGGTCAAATGCCAAACAGTGATTTTTGCATATTTAATGAACCAAAGTTAACTCTTTCTCAAAGCGTGTGAATTTATTTGCCCAAAATAAATAATACATTTCTGAAAAGGGCAGTTTCGCAATAGTGCTTGTGCAAAATCTCATAAGATTTGAAAGGATGGCAAATGGAGAAATCTGTCACTTTTTACACGCAATGACAAACAATAAAGATCAGCACCCGTCGCTCTTTATTGTGCACAAATGTGTTCAGTTGTTCAATAATCATAAAACCACTTTTAATAAACGAGGGAGTGATGTATCTTAAGCAGAAAGTATAATAAGGCTATTTGGATTTAGGGTTTGGATACCAGTATTTAGTAAACATACGCAATTTCAGCCATTTTTCGATTGCGAAAATCGGTCCTCACAGCTGAAATATTTTTTTTGCCTTTTTTTCATAAACAAAAGAGTATTTTTAAAAACTATCCATATGACGTTTCATACTTTGTCATAGTTAACTTAAATTCAAAAGTAGAGCGAATTTAAAATTTTGAGCTTTGCCGCGGTATGTTTGATTTTTGTAGAGACTCGCTATTAAATTAGACGTGCCGTGGTATTGCGGGCTCAAATCCCAGCCGCCATTTCTTTTAAGCATTTTTTTATATTAACGAATATAAACTTTTGTGAATTCAATTCTTGTTTCTATTTATTAATTTATATCTGATTCTTGCTGGAAATACATCAAACAAGGTACTTTTATCGTTATTTTGTGATTTATTTCCTTACTAATAAAAAACCCAATACCAAACACCACGATGTACACAGTACACTTGAACATATTAACTTTATAATTTATACTGTAACTACAAGAAAACTATACTAATCAAAAGTTTGCAACTGTTGAAAGCCTCACAACTAACGTTTAAGGTTAATATGATTGGTTAAAACACAAGCTTATTTGCTTACATTTAAGCGAGCAAATTTATTTAGCACCTTGTCCACTTCTATCACTGCATACCACAGTCAATAAACAAGTTTTAAAACTCTATGAGGTGTTTACACCAGTCAATTTAATAATTAAGAATTCAGAGTTCCATGATACTGTAAATGTACCATGCACTCGGCATGTATGTGTACTACGGTATACACTTTGAGTAAATTGTCAGGCTAGCAGTTAGAGAATTGTTCCTTGTTATTTTTGCAAACTATTAATTGTAATAAACTAATTGTGCTCTTTGCCACAGGAACCAATTATGTTTTGATATTTACTGTTGTATTTTTTATGTAGATGCATAATTTGTGAATTATAATATTTGAGATTATCTGGATATTGCTGAACATTCAGTTTTGTCCAATGTCGCCTAATGTCGCCCAGTTTCGCCCAGCGACGCACACTACTTTTCTTTGAAAATTGCCAATGTCGCCAAATGTCGCACAATGTTGCACATAATAACGGCGACCTTGGCCCCCAAAGTAGGCCTATTTTTGTCAGTTAGCGAGGTTTAAAACCAGATGAAAACAAATCAGTACTGGAGAAATACTAGAATAATTTTGGGAAATTATGAATGTGAATTATCTGAATACTAGAATACTCTTTGTTATATACCTAGTGTCAAACTTCAATTTCCCTGTTTTCTTATTGGACAAAAGTAAACAATAACACGTGCCAGATCACAAAACGTCATGTTTACTGCATTGCTCTGGTGAAGGGTAAAATTACTTTTGTTTATCGCGCAACAAAAAACCCGGAAGTGAGGCGCCACCCTTCTGGAGCAGCATCATGTGTTATATTTACCAATCGAATAGTTACCGATAGAGTACCTTTATGTTAAGAACGAGATTTATCGTCGTTCTGTAAGTTTTCAATAAGATTTTAATGATATTCATAATTGTCAAGAAAGGTCTTAATCAACGTGTGAAGTTTGTTGTTGCAGCGCGGTCATTAAAATGACGAAGACTAAGTCGAGCTTATGATGTCATAACTTCAACAAATTGATAACAAAAATGAGCGTTTCGCTTTTTAGACTTCATGACATCATCATGAGCTCTTCTCGATTTATTCCTTTCAATTCGGCCATTTTAATGGCGGTGCTCCAAGATACAAACATCACCGTTTGATTAAAACTTTTAATTTTTCAACGAATCTCGAAATTAATTTTTGCATCATTTTTCTCATGCTAGAACCACTTTAAAGACAAATTATATTCTTGCGAGGAAGTACCCTTATATTTTTTCGAGGAAGTCTTGTTAATTTCATAATTAATTCATACCGCATGAGTGGTGTTGCTCCATTACTATCCAAACGTGTAATTATTTCTTTATCTAATTGCAGGATTTCTTTCACAAGGGTTTCACATTCCGTTGCAAACACGTTGGATGCAAAATTTACCCACTCTGTATGTTCCTTTTCTTTCTTGAGAAAAACTTCTGCGTCTAATTGTTCTTCCATAAGTACATTCAGGATCTCAGCGCTGCCACTTTGAGCCGCTATGTAAAGTATTGTATGACCTTCTCCATACAGTTCGTCGTTCGATAACAGACTGTCGTGCCATTGTTCCAAAGACGAATCTAGATAAAGTGAAACTCAAACCTTAGATCATAATATAAAACGCCCATTACGTCACTTGTTTTTGTTTATCTGTTTTTGTCTTATCATACTCATACAAGCTTTCCAGGTTCCTCTAAAAATGCCCTCGTATACTTTTAATATCCAAACTTTCCGACAAACGTGTCGATCGACAGGAACAAATAATATATACTTGCACAATTTTAGCTGGATAAACGGTGTAATTAGAATATTTTTCCCTGACGATGGACGCGTTTGTCCAAAAGCTTGGACTCAATGCGTTTTAGTATTAGTTTTTAATAAATTGTTACTAAAACATATAAAAAAATTCAAGTCTATTGTTATACTAGAAATACATGCATGCAACAACCCCTCGCCTATATTTTCCAAACATTGTTTCAACATGAAGTATTCATAATTACGCCAACACTGAACGCAGGCTCGCGTTGCACGTTATGTTAGTCATGGCGACACGAATCACAATTTTTAAAAATTTTTGTGCAAAGCTGCAAAAAATAAATGAAACTTGAACACTTTTAAACACAGAACTATCAATTTCTAAAATTTATAAAGTAGGTATATTATTTTGGTTTCTATGGGCTTTATTTTAATGTAAAATTCAAAAAGAAACTCTACGTAAAACGTTTTTAAATGTGAATTGAAATCAGCTACTTTTTGCCGATATCTATATAAACTCTTCAACTGAAGCTTCTACTTATTACTCGCACCTTGAAAGGAAATAAATTTAATTCGTACAGGACGCTGATGAAAATAATTTGCTTTCTTTTTTATAATGAACTTCTACAAAGGTTAATTTAACTAAGAAACGTTCGCAAACAATGCACAGGAATGACTTGAACATCAAGAACAAAGTCCACGTTAATACAAAGTCATACATAAACAATTGAAACAAACTTGCCCTACACTTTAGGATTTCTCATACTAAATCAATTCTTATAATAAATGTTTACTTTTACTGTAAAAATTGTAAAAATTTGTTATGTGAAACGATTTTCCAAGCTTTCCGACATGCATTTTTTATATTTGTTGCCTTTTCATTCCTGGCAAACAGCCATATTTTGGGATCAGTGAGATGACCACCCACCGAACGACTCACGGTAACCCACTTCCACGATCATTGATGAACTTTAGACTTCGCTAATGCTTTCGTTTCCCCGGGGGGAAATAGCCGGGGCGAATTAGTACCCTCGCACGGCGCTTCGCGCCGTCGGCTCGGGGAATATTTGACACCGCTTCATTTCAAGCTATTGCATTTCACTTCTCTTATTTCACGACGCATTACAAATTTCTTTGCATACATGTACTCACACTCTTTCAGGATTTCTGCCATAATCTCAGCTTGGCCTGTCCGAGCAGCAACACAGATCGGTGATTCCCCATGCAGATTTGTTTTCTTTATATCCGGTTTCCTGGTCGGATATTTAATCAGTCGTTTTGCTACTTCAACGTTTTTTCTCTTGATTGCAATAAGTAATGGCGTGGATTGATTATCGTCTGGTTTATCAATAAAGTGATCCATAAAATTTGAATGCTTTTCAACAATTTTCATGGCTTCCAATCCCGAATGCCTACTAGCAATAAGGTGAAGAGGAGATTCTCGAGGACGATCAGAGCTCGGCCAGTCCAGGCTAAATCGGCGGTGGTACAATTGTATGTTTAAGGTGGACAATGTCTTTCTTGATCCATGTTTTGTAATTGTCTCTTCATAAATTTCACAAAGGTGGACTAGACACTTCAAACTATTTAGTTCAACAGCTTCTAGTATTCGCATGTACACCTTACTAGGTTCATCTGTAAAAGCTTGATAAAATATGTGTTATCGTTAGTTAATATTTACAGTCGACCATAGTACGTATAGTACCCTTAATGATGAACAAGATGAAAAATGGTTTAATTAGTTTACTATGTTGGGTTTCTATAGTTGCATTTGGGCATGTAGGCAGATCATGAGCAGGGTGACTGTAAATACCACTGAGATTGGGACATAGAACTCGTTTCTTAGACCTAGTTAAACGCCTTTGGATGAGAGTTGCGATGGTTCTGGCCCATGCTTCTTGCTATAACGCTTTCTTCATATATCCCTTTAATTGAAGAAAACACCGAGAAATATCACTTTTAATTACAAAAGTATCAATGTCCGAATTATGTACAGTATCTTATAGGTATATGTTATTATGCGTGATATCAGCTTCAATTTAATTAGTGTAAAATTCAACCAAAGCATTTCAAAATGTTTCCAAAACTAAACTGCCTTTTGTCGATAAACTTTGATGTGATTTCAAGTTATGCAATCCTCGCATGAAAATAACTTTACTTTCGTAATTATTTAATTTTTTTTTAATAATCTAACCGGAATAATAAAAAAGGGTAATGCTCTCCTGAACATTGCAATTCGCTACTTTAGTGTTGAAAGTCTGTTACCATGGCAACACCATGCTTGGAGTAAAGCTCAAAATTTCTCTTTTTCATGCCATTTTAAAAATTCTCTTCGGTAAATTTTAAAACTTTGCATAAAAGATAATACTAGTATAATGATTTTTTCTTCAATTTTAAACAAGTATATCGATACGTTTCTTAGAAAATTTAAAAAACGTCAAAAATCAATATTAAAAATTTTTCCTTCGATTTAATTTTAAGAAAAAATAGGTACGCAGCGCGTACATGTTGCATGCCAATTAAACCTTGTAACGAATGTACAAAACCATTGGGGGGAGGGGATGCACATGGTTTTCGTGGGGGGGGGGGGGTGCACACCCCTCCATCGGTCTATGTTATAAGGAAATATTTGCCTAAATCTAGGCTTGCAGAGATTTTCTAACACGAGACATCTATAGAAAACTTACTTCATTAGTAAACTAATGCAACGATAGATAACGTTTGATACTAATAATCAACACAAATAATACAATACTAAATAGGAATTATATTGGACGATGGCTACTGTATATACAAAATTGAAATTAGAGTATGGGTTACAGTCATAAGTTATAAGTGTATAAGTAAGTGATTTAGTTACAACCCATCCCACAATTTCCAAAGCTTGCCAAAAATGGTCAATGACAACGTGAATTATAATAAATAACGAACATTCAGCTAGTGAAAACTAAAAGATGAGTCACTTATCTGTGACAATAGAACACGTGTTATTGCATTTTAGTATAGAGTACATGTTCTACCCAGTTTAAGTTTGAAGATGTTGATTATGATGCATATCAAGTCCATTGTTGGTATAACAGGTACTCACGCACGTTGTTGGTTCGATTTTGAGTATTCGAGCATGTACCGTGCAACAAAGTACTTCTTCAAGTAAATTGTCAATTGTTAATTGTCAAGTCTTCCTTGTCGCGTTAACTTTTCTTTGTGCTGCACGTGCGACTTTGTTGTGTAACCTTTCGCTTTAACATGTTTTGGTATCAGAGCCAGGTTCAATATACTGTACCGTACAACAAATATCCAAGTCGTATCTTCTCTTCGTATTTTGTTTTATATTTCGTATCTTCTACTGTGCATCTTTCTTAATTTTCAAGTCTTCCACATTGAATTTTCAGAATATATAACGACGCAACTGTAGACGTGTTAACTTTGGTAGCTGAATTGAATTGTTTCATTTTCGAATATTCCTTGACATAAGATGATACATCATTCAATATAATTTATCCATCAATGTTGTCCGGCAGCAAATGAAAGGCATATTATTGTATACGTCTGATATCTGTAAATATTAATGCAACAGTATTAGTGGATGCAATTAAGTATAATGTAACATGAATTTTATAAGCCATACAGTCCGAGCTTTGTTCGTGACATGACTAGATAGTAATAAGACGTAGCAACATACCAAAATTGTTCTATTTTGAGTACTTTTGTTGACTGAAGTTATCGTTAATGTGACCATGTTAATGTATAGAGATATCTAAAAAAGAAAAAGAAACCCAATTAAACAGATAAACACAGGGAAGGGAGAGGGGGAAAGAGAAAAGGAAAACTTACCTAAATGTAGCCATCGTCCACACAAAGACTTATTTTTATTTCATTGGCAGTGGCACAGCGGCTTGTCTTAATAAAATTGGCAGTGGCTTGTCTTAATAACACTGGGAGTGGCACAATGGCTTGCCTTAATAACATTCGCAGTGGCACAATGGCTTGCTATCTTTGCGATACCTTAATTGAACGGTATATAATTATTATATCTATGTCCTAAGAGAAGCCCATATTGCTTTATGATTACTAAAGTAAGTTTCTAGAATGCCAGCTTCATTTCCTCTTCAATTAAATTCTTGTAAAGCCCGTTATCAGTTTCCTCTAATGATTTTGTACAACCATCAAATCGTAGAGTGACTGTTGATCAGATTCTACCATCCAGTTGACATTGAAATCTCCAATTATAATGTCCAATTATAATGCAGAAGAATCTTCATCAAGTACGCTACGTAGTGAAGACAGTTGACGTGATATATCAATATTGGGTGAACGATATACTCCAATTATACTTAGATGCGGATTACTTTCTGTTTTAATAATTGTAAACTCGATTCCATTGACGTTGTGAGCATAAAGGTATCCTTGTTGTAAAGGAACTCGGCTATAAACAGCTGTTCCACCGTATGGACGTCCTGGACCCGTACCTTGGGAAACATAATTTCTGAACAACCTGTAGCCATCAATGTTGTATATATCGTCAGTGTCTGAGGAGTTAAACCTTGTTTCAGTAAATAGCACAATATCCATAGACGAGTAATTAATGTCTTTTCGAACATCTTCAATGTGTTTATGCAAAGATCTTGTATTGAACTTTCAAATCAGATTGATCCAACATATAACGTGGTTTGAAACAAAGATTCAAACTTTGTTCGGTTCTTAAGGTTTCCATTTCCTTGACAGCTCTTTGATCAACAAATATCTTGTTCTCACATAGGTCAGTGATGTATAATCCTTCTATTGTTGTAACTCGACTTAAAGCAACATAATGAATGTGAGGAAAAGCCCTGTTGCTGTTTAGGTTTACAACAATTTGTGTTTGAGAATCACCTTGTGATCTATGAACAGTTTTTGCTGATGCTGGTCGCAATGGAAACTGTTTTCTAACAACTTGAGCAGATTTTGTTCTACCGACTGGAAATTGGGTTGTGACAGGTTTAATTGGTGTCCATGTGCTTTGAATTCCTCTGACATAAAGCGCTCTGTTTTCTTCACGAGTTTTTCTACCAACGTTTCATAATCGAATTCGACCCAGATAAGACCCGAAGGTTTATTCACATCAGTGAGCTGATCAACTTTATAATGTTACTCGCCCCATTTGTTGCAACTTCTGTACGTTGCCCAACAGCAAGTTTTAACTTGTGAGCTAACTGTTTAGAATTTCTTAACGGAACATAAGGTATTTGCCTCATTATTTTTTCCTTAAGTTCAGTTTAAGCTGCCCCAATAACACTATCTTGAGCTTTAATTGTATATCTATTATCAGCAAATGATTCATATACTTGTTCATTATATTTGTCTACTAAAGCATTTTGAATCGAATAAACAAGCGTGGAGCTTCTTGAGGACAATTCGATTCCTGAACGCATCTTTCCTTCAGCTTTTGAAGATCAGCAGTTGTATGTTTACCTTCTCGTAACCTGTTTAAGATTTCAGCAAACATCTTACTTTCTCTTTGTCGCATGATCTCATCAAGTTCAAACATTCTAAAGTATTTTTTCCATAAATTTGGAGCAAGAACACTATAATAGTTTAAAGACTGGAGATCAGTGAAAATGTAGCCATCCATGACAGGTTTAAGTTAAGATAAGATAAGACAGTAAGATAAGCGAAGCTATGCAAGATCGCGACTACCATCATCGCAAAGCCGTAAAGTCAAACAAAACCTATCATTGGAATATGTACAAAAAATTGAGAAACTTTGTTAATAAAGAAGTTAAATCGGCCAAGTCCAAATACTACTGCGAGCTAATTGAACAAAGTAAAGGTGACTCCAGCAGGATTTGGAAGGCGGTTAACGAAGTTTCGTCACGCGATAACAAGAGCTCCACCCCGCAGTACATTGTCACTGATGGAGTAAAACACTCAGACCCTAAATCTATTGCCATTGCCCTTAACACTTATTTCGCCTCAGTCGGAAAATCCTTAGCTGCAAAGTTTACAACTGTCTCACAAACATTTACAGCAAGTCCCACTCCTGTCCCGGAAACAATGTTTGAGCTCGAAGAAGTACAAGAATCCTATGTTCTTGCACAACTCCAGACTTTGAAGACCAACAAAGCTATCGGTTTGGACAAAATAAGCGCAAGACTGTTAAAATGTGCGTCTTGTTCAATCAGCAAGTCTGTAACAAGATTACTCAATCTTTCCATCAAGAGCAACCATTTCCCAAAGATTTGGAAATGTGCTAAGGTCACGGCCCTATTTAAATCAGGTGAACGTTCCAACCCTACAAACTATCGTCCTATCTCGGTTTTGCCTACTCTAAGTAAGATCTTAGAGAGAACTGTTCACTCGCAACTGTATAGCCACCTAATTACTAACAACTTGCTCACAAGCAAGCAGTTTGGATTTCGACAAAGGTACTCAACCATCACTGCCCTGACCAACTTTGCGGATGAAACTCTGAGTAACATGGAATGTGGAAGGCTTTGTGGAGCTGTATTTCTAGATTTGTCGAAGGCATTCGATACAGTGGACCACAGCATTTTACTCCACAAACTTAAAGCGATGGGTGTGTCATCTAGCACCGTAGGTTGATTTGAGTCCTACCTGAGCAACCGGATGCAACAAACGTCTTGTGGAAGTGAATTGTCAGACGCTCTTCCTGTCACTTTTGGAGTACCCCAGGGGAGCATTTTGGGCCCACTTCTCTTTCTCGTGTACATAAACGATCTGCCCAGTATTACCAATAATGCAATGTTTCCTTGTATGCCGACGACACAGTCTTGTATTGCTACGCCTCAGATGTCAATGATCTTGAAAAAAATCTTAATGAAGATTTACTCAAGTTAGCGATTTGGTTAAATGAGAACAAGCTGACACTGAATTTAAACAAAACTCGATCAATGATTATAGGCAGTGATAGGAAGTTATGTAATATATCTTCAATATCTGTCTCTGTCAATAATACTGAAGTCTCCAACGCCAGCAATTTCAAGTACTTAGGAGTCACCATCACAGCCAACTTCAGCTGGTCAGAACATATAGATCGCATTTCCGCTAAAGTCAATCAACGCCTAGGTCTACTTCGTAGGATTAAACACCTGCTACCATTTAATGCACGAATCCTTTTTTACAACAGTCTCGTACTCCCAATCTTTGACTATGCGGATGTTATATGGGGAGACAAAAATAATACAGTGTTAATGAACAATCTTCAGATACTCCAGAACAAAGCCGCCAAGATTGTTTTAGATAGACCATATTTTTCATCGGCAACAGACGCGTTAAACACTTTAGGCTGGACCACTCTTGAAAAACGCAGATTGTATCATAGATGTTTATTTGTTTTTAAGTGTCTAAATAATCATACTTCACATGGATTTGAACTTCTAGCGAACAGAGAAATACACAACTACAATACGCGATATAAGGACAATTTAAGGCCACCTAAAGTGTCAAGGAATTGGGGAAAGCAAAGACTCGCTTATCAGGCCATAACAGACTGGAACAACTTGGACAAAAAGATAAAACTATCTACTAGTATTTCTACATTTAAGAGAAACTTTTTTAGCAATCTTTGAACTTTCCCTCGTATAATTTCTTAATATTTTTCATAGTTATGTAGTATATTCATGTCTTCCTTGTATAATAGTTTATTTAGTTCAGGACCTTTCTGAAAATCACTTTGTGAGAAAGCTTCCTGAAATTAAATATTAATTAAAAAAAAAGTTGAAATAAATCACCGATTGTCATGATGCTAACACCACCAAAGTCGTCTTTGCTTCGTTTTAAGTCTTTTAAACGGTTATCAGGGGCGGATAAAGCGTCTCAATCTGACCGTAGCATTTTGGATGAAATCAACATGCGTGGCCGAAGGCCACGCCCTACCTAGGGGGGGTTTGGGGGCATGCCCCCACAAAAATTTTTTGAAATTTGAAGCTCGCAAGTACCATTTCCTGCATTCTGAGCATCAAAATTAGATTTAAAATTTCTAGAAAAGTGCCTGTTTTTCACACCAAAACTAGAAAAAAACGCACAAAAGTTACAAAATTTACAAAATTACAAATGTACATCATCTTGAAACGCGCTGCCCAACGACAGTTAGGGAAAATATTTATCTGGCTAAGCAGCAGCATATACAGATCATCCCGAAACAGCAGGACAACTTATGGCAGTCAGGAAAAATATTTTCTGTGCTGTATATAGATTATCTCCAAGTTATAGGAAAAATGTTTATTTGTAGATCATCTTGAAACAGCAGCACAACGGCAATTAGGAAAAATGTTTATTTGTATATGTTTTTTGTACTAAAATTCGAGCAGTTCTGCAGAAATTCGCGCGGAGCTGGGTGCGCAAATTTTAGTACTGCGGGAAATATAATCCGCGCGAAAAGCTTTGCGGTGTAATATTCACTCGTTGTTAGTAAATAATATAATGTAAGGCAATAGCAAATACGAACCTATAATATAGAATAGAATAGAATATATTTGCTCACAAAAATATTTACAATGGAAATATAGTTAAAATACAATAATATAAAGGAGCAAGGGACCTTTTGAAATCCTGTTGGACTTTTGATATAAGGCCCCTATATTGTTTTGATTAAATTAAAGTACATAATCTAAATTGGTTCAATATATATAATACATGTTTTAGCTAACAATATTTATATTAACAAGTAATTTAATTTTGCTTTTTTCTTAAAGGAAAAATATATGGGATGCTAATAAAAATTAGTTATTGTTATTGTATTAGGCAAATGAAAACCATACATTTTGAAGTTTGAACTTTATACGCTTTACTGTTATGAATTTTGTTTTGACAAATATTGAAGTATTTGTTGTTATAGTTCTATTAAACAAACCAAAAGCAACCAACACGGAAAATTACTTGCGCGAATTTAAAGCTGCGCGAACAAGTTTCGCGAAATTGGAATGCGCGAATTTAAAGCTGAACGAAAATGAGTATACGACGCAAATTTTAATACAAGTAAGGTATACAATACATGGATTTGAAACATCTAACCATATATTTATGATACGTTATCCCAGGAAGCAGGCTCAGCTGTTGTAATTCTAAACTCTGAGTTAGTATACATGTAAACTACAATATAATATATCGGAGTGTAACTATTTCTCATAAATTTCATTTACACTACTCGCTAATCTTTATAGACTACAACAGCTCTACAACTAATAATTACATGAGCAAAGTCTAAGATATAAAATATATAGGAGATTAACTAACATATTTCTTAATATAAACACACATGGCATGCCAATGGCTATCAAATAGTGTGAGTGACCATTGATATTGTTCTCCATTTTTATAATAATACGTTTCATCAGCAAATATATGGTAATATATTCGAGACGCATAAACTGTGTAAAATTCGATATATTATTTACATATTTAATATACTATTCATGAGACTGACCTGGCACGGAGGTGATTCGAACGGCGCTGTCTTCACAGTTCACATCGCGGGAAATGCAAATTATGCCAATATAAATCGCACACCAAAAGCTTTCGATCAGAATTCTTTCGCAACGTTTACATTCGTTCATTATACACAGAAGATCCTGGAGTCCTGTAGAAGCTATATCTTTCTCCTTGGAACGAGCGGCGATTTACCGACTATTCGATTACAACGAGGAGCCGACACGACAATGTAAACCAGCCAGCATCGCTCTGAAGTCGATGCGACTATTGCAAACAGTAGCATTTTGCCTCATTCTGATTGGCTTGCCTCGTCTGACCGTAGCAAACCAACCAGCACGCCGTATTTGCGAATTTTTGCAACGGTCAGTTTCAATCTGACCACTGCAAAAATTTCCAAATACAGCGCTATGATTGGTTTGCTACGGTTAGACGAAGCAAGCCAATCACAATGAAGCAAATGCTACGACTTCAGAACGATGTGATATAGTACTAGTGCAAAACCCGCAAATACAGGCAGTATTTCGGGCGGAAATTTGAGAAAAACACGAATTTAATTATCCAAAATGAAATAAAAACCCGATAAAATTGTATCAATATGATTTAGTAAATTTAAAAAAAATTGCACAAAGTTTCAATGAAAAATTGAAAATAACGGCAATTAAAAATAGTATCAAACGTTTTAGTTTTTAATTAATTTAAAAAAGATACAACCTGAAAAAATATATCTCAGGGAAAATCTGACCGTAGCATATGCTACGGTTGCAACGGTCTGAATCCGCCCCTGGTTATTTAACTGTATTGTCAACATACTGTTTCCAACCATTGATATTTCATCAAGTAATATCAACTTTAATTAATGAACCCAGTTCACATCTTAAAGTGTTCAACCTACCAGAGTCTAGTGGTTTATAGATTTTAAGCGATTGGCTTGCTGAAATTGATAAGGCAGTATGGATTGTGTTTCCTTTAATTAAATAACCTGCTTTTCCTGTTGGAGCGAGCAACAATACATGAACGCGACGAAAGTCTTCGCCAACTCGTTTGTTATAGTGCTTTAAAGCAGCTTGATAAATTGACTTAATCAAGTGAGATTTACCAACTCCTCCACTTCCACTTAAAAAGGCATAAAAGGCATAAAAGGCATCATCAGATATCTTCATTAAGGTGGCTCGGTACAGTTTGTAGAAATGTTGAAAATGCGTAAACTATCTGACCAATTTTAAAAAAATTCTGTAATGCAAAAAAAAATTTATTTCGAAAAACCATGTTTATAAATTTTTTAAAAATTTGGCATTACAGAATTTTTTTAAAATTTGTCAGATAGTGTATTGTACTATAAGAAAATGTTTTCTGAAATAAAAAATGGGGGTAACCGACCTTTTTTTAAAGTAAAATGCGTTCAAAGCCAAAATATCGGCCATCTTGAATCGTCATTGTTGCCATAGCAACAGTGGTGACGTCACTTTTCTGACCAATTTTCGACTGTTTGATTGTCGCTGTATATATAATATACAAATTTCGATTTGTAAAGAGCATCATCTCTTCAAAAAGGTGATCTAGTACTAGTTTACGCATTTTCAACATTTCTATAAACTGTAGCGAGCCACCTTAAATGTAAAGCATGATAAAAAAATTCCCTTCGTTTCTTGTTTAGCATTTGGACCGAATGTCGGTATTCATCATCTTCCATTTCATTTAAAATAAGTGGTTCATTATTAGCTAACCTTGATGGGATACCCAAGTCTTCAGAAACATCATATGTTTCATTTAAATCTGGATGTGTATCTGTATTACCTTCGTGATCGTCCCGACGTTCAGTGTCTTGTGTAACTGGTGCTATTGTGTCATATGCATCATCATCACATTCTTGTAAGTGATGTTGAATTTCATTTAAGTCTTCACTACAAACCGCATATTGTTGCATTTGTTCACTTATCTCATCACGACGAGCTTCGTAATGTTCTTCAAAGGAAGAGTAATTTCCAATTAAATCGGCCTGTTCATTTCGCCATGGAGTGAAAAGCGTGGTCAACTCACGATAATGTTTTTCTGGTTGAGATTTTTTGTTAAACCAAACACTGCAAATAATTCTTGCAGTACAAACAGTACAACTTTCAGTGTTTTGAACATCTAGGTCATCATCATTATTTTCATCTTCATCTTCCAAAGGAAGGTTGTCAATATCTGATTTTTTAACAGATTTCTTGCAGCCTAGACCTAGGCCTTCTAGTCTTATTTATTTTTTTTAATATTCAGCGCTTTTTCACATGAAAAGACTGGGACTAGGTGATTTGGGGGCGGGGCGGAGGAAGCAAGCCTAGAAGGCCTAGTGGATTTCCCAACAACAAGGCCAAAACTGCCCTGAAACTGCCCTGGTTGCGAAATGCCCAATTATTGCGCTCTCAAACAGAATTATTTGCAACTTAACGGCGAATTTAAACCGATACATGTAAAATAAACTCATTTATAGTATAAACTTACTATTTTTATTTGTATACACGTCTAGAAAATCGGGGTTTTTATCATAAAGTTCGAAGCAACACTATTATTTAATATGTTGACAAGGTGAAGCGAAAGCACAAAATAAGTCAAAATATATACCAAAAGTAGAATCTTTCATGAAATTTTGTCTTATACACAACTACATTAACATATATTTTCTCAATTTTGCCAAGAAGCAGTCTTGTGTTTGTAAAATATACAAACACATATACAATTATAATTTATTAAATAAAACGGATACATATATTATTAGCCCGTACAGTACTGTATATAAAAACGTACATTGTTTACAAATGGTATATCCGTAATATTTGAACAATAATTTCAAAATCCTCATTCCCAATTCGCAAATATAGTTATTCAAAGCAAAACAGTAGATTGTCTTGCGAATAAAAGAATTATTATTTTGTGCTTTCGCTTCACCTTGTCAACATAATAATAGTGTTGCTTCAAACTTTATGATAAAAACCCCGATTTTCTAGACGTGTATACAAATAAAAATAGTAAGTTTATACTATAAATGAGTTTATTTTACCTGTATCGGTTTAAATTCGCTGTTAAGTTGCAAATAATTCTGTTTGAGAACGCAATAATTGGGCATTTCGCAACCAGGGCAGTTTCAGGGCAGTTTTGGCCTTGTTGTTGGGAAATCCACTAGGCTTTCTATTTTTTCGCTTGCGTCAGGCTTGTGTCCTTCCTCCGACCCGCTCCCAAATCACCTAGTCCCAGTCTTTTCATGTGAAAAAGCGCTGAATATTAAAAATATATAAATAAAAATAGAAGGCCTAGGTCTAGGCTGGATTTCTTGTACTTGTTCAGCCCAGATGAGTCATACCATGCTGCCCAGTCAGCTAATGTAATATTTTTTAAACTGTCTGGTCGTTCTACATATCGTTTCAGAAGTCCACCTGAGTGAATTTCTTCAGATTCGTCTGACATCTTCTCAATCTCACCGAGAGGTTTCAATAGTTCAACACGATCACTTGGAGGAGATGTGTTAATGAATACAACATTTCGAGACGATTTTCTCATGGGAAGTTGCAGAATGATATACACTGCTTCTTGTGCACTTATTTCAACCGAGTTTAAAAACTTGTTGCCAATGTCACGGACCTGTTGTTTGATGGTGGAATTACCTTCCTTAGCTTCAGCACATGCGTTACGTAACAAATCACTCATTCCTTTTTGAGCTTTAGAAATATAGGAAACAATGTACATCGCACAGGCATATACATCCAGCACAAATTGAATGTCCATGTTTGCTCTCCATGCTTGGAGGCAAACAGGATTATAATTATTAATTCTTAACTCATTGGGGTTAATATTGTTGGACAATTTAGTGATGATCGAATTGCAAGAATATATTGATATTCTGAAACATCTAGTTCTTTCAGAAGTTGCTCAAATGTTACATCTTCTCCCTCTTTTAAAACATCTAGTTTATTCTTAATATTTTCCCACAACTCTTTTCTGGCTCTTAAAACAGTTTCAGGAGCATTGTCATCAAGTGGATGTAGTATCTGTGTTGATCTCATGGGAGGCTGAGGGTAATTAAATCTACAAACTTTTTTGGAGTTTTTTCGGCATGTGTGAGAATGTCTATAAGTTTGTTTGTTTACAAGATCAAATAATTCAGTGTTATTATCAGGCTTTCTACAAGGTATTATTTGGTCAATGAAATTCACTACATCTTCATCTTTATCAACACCAAATACGGGTGCATTTTCAAGCCATATGAGCATATGGATGTGAGGGGAGCCCCTCTGTTGGTATTCAAATCTGTAAAACCAATCTTTAAGTTTCCCTAATGGGTCAGTTTCACTCATTAAAAAATCTTTCAAGAAAGTATTAAATTGGTAATCAAAATGCCTCACACAAGTCACTGGGTCACTTTGAATTAGTCTGCACTTTTCATCCCAATTTACATATATAATTGTTCATCACTATAGTCTTTGTGATCAACAAGCTTACCAAGGATTCTTAGTAAATGATTCCATTTTGTTTCAGCAGATGAAAAACTACAAAATAATGATGCAGGTCCTAACTGCCGAATCATAACAAACAAATCCTTTTTGGCTTTTTCAAAGTAAGGTGGAGAACCTCTCAAAGCTCTTAAAAATTTGTATCCTTCATCATGGCAAATGAGATTTGTTAAACCTTCCGGTGTTTTTAACTCACCAGCAGTAAGTGTTCTGTTTCCCATTTTACACCTGCGAATAGCAAGCTGAGATTGTCCCAGCAATAACTTCATCTGCATTTTTTTAGTTTTAAAAAATATATTCTCAATACACATTGCAGCTCTTCGATCAGACCGTCTTAGTTCAAATTTGCATTTTTCACTGTAGTGAACACGAGTCAATCTTTGCTTCTCATCTGGCCGCTTTTGATCCAGAAATATTCCTGGATAAGCTAGTTCCTCTGAATACTTTTTTTTACAATTCAATTTATTTACCACTTCTTTCAGTTTTTTACATTGATTATTGTAATAATATTTAGGTATATATTTATATTTATGTATATCAAATTGAAAGTGGCGAGAAGACCTCAGGAAGTCAAAGACTTGCATTAAGAGGCCATCTCATAACAATTCACTGTTTTTTATCCAAAAAAAAAAGATTATTTGCTGTCTATAAAAGAAGCTCCTATTGAATTATACATGCACTAATTGTTTTCAATCAAATATTTTTTCAATTTTCTTTTGAAACCAGGTGATCTCGTGTTCGTATTTTAACCAATCAGCGCTCAGAAAGGGTTGTCCGAATAGAAATCCATTTTGATGAATTCAGTCAATTAAATCTTTCGTTATTCTTTAATTTATGAAACTAGTTGAAATTTTGTAATTATGTTTGGTTATGAGAACTATAGCTCTGACAAAAATATGGAATCGAAATAAAGTATATTACAGGAGATATTCAGTTGTTTTAATCATAAAATGGATTTCTATTTGACAACTAGTGCCAGTACTTTTCCGCGTATCAAGATCATCTGGAAGAAGAAGTGATATTTATTCCTGTTATTGATGAAGGGAGACAATTCCATATTTTCGGACCCTGATGTAGGATAGTGAATTGTTTTATGTTAGTTCGACATGCATGAGACCTATATTTGGCCGCAGCTCTAGTATTATGATCGTGAACTTGACTGCTCGAAATAAATAAGTTGTCAAAACATTCAGGTAATAAACCGCGGCTATAAATATACATAAATATACCAAAACAATGAGTATTTAGTTTGAAGATATCTAATATATTTAATTTTTTGAAAAGCGGAGCAGAATGAGCACGGTAATCTGAGTTAGTCATTGCTCTAACAGCTCGCTTTTGCAAAAGATAGATTCTCTTCACATTAGTTTCATATGTTGAAGTCCAGACTATATTACAATATGTTATATTAAACTATAATATAAGGAAAGTTTTGTAACCAATGATAAGAGAAATCGCGAGCGATAGATTATTCCAACAGATTATGATATTTTCTTACTAATATAATTTATGTGGATTTTCCATGACAAATTTTCATCTAAATATACACCTAAGAATTTTACATGCCGTTCTTGAACAAGAATTTGGTTATCATATTTGAGAGTTAAATTAAGAGTTAGTTTTTTTTGACTGGGATGAAAAATTAAATAATTTGATTTGCTTATATTTACAGATAATTTGTTTGATTTCATCCAGATATCAAGGTTTTGAAGCTCACTGTTTAGGGTTGCCTCAAGTTGCTTGATATCGGAATGTGAATAATATATACTCGTATCATCTGCAAACAAAGACGAAGTAGCTTGCTTTAAGGCTTTCTGGAGATCGTTTACATACAAAATAAAAAGAAGTGGACCCAAAATGGATCCTTGGCGAACTCCGCATGTTATTTCATAAAACTCAGAGCAAGTATCGTTAATTTGAACAAACTGTTTACGGTTTGATAAGTAACTTTTGATCCATTGCAAAGCGACACCTCGAACACCATAGTGCTCTAATTTTGAAAATAAAATTTGATGATCTAAAGTATCAAAAGCTTTAGATAGGTCAATGAAATCACCAGCAGCTAAATGGCCCCGATCAATATCCGATGCAATATTATTGGTTAGAGAAATTAACGAATGACAAGTTGAGTGCTTTCTTCGAAATCCAAATTGGAGACTATATAAAAAAATTTCATGTCGTTCAATATATGAAGTTAATCTATTGTGCATGACTTTTTCAAAGAATTTTGAAACGTTGCTTAAGAGTGATATAGGTCTATAGTTTGTGAAAGAGTTTTGTTCTCCTGATTTGAAAACCGGAATAACTCTAGCAATTTTTAGTTTTTCAGGAAATATTCCCATGCATAAAGACAGATTTATAATGTCAGCAAGGGGTTGAACAAGAAGATCGAAAGATTTTTTAATTACATGCATCGATACATTGTCAAAACCAGGCGCTTTTCCTGTTTTAAATGAATAACAAATATCTTGAAATTCGTTCTTATTTGTAGGGCATAGAAACATTGATTCACTATAGTTTAAATCTAAAGAGGAACGAAAAGAAACATTATGAGGGTGCGTAAGGGTGCGCTAATTAATATTCATAAAAATGAGGGTGCGTAAGGGTGCTGAGGGTGCGTTAATTAATACTCGTACAAATGAGGGTGCGTAATGACGTCACTCATTAACATACGTCATCATTATATGCAATGACGTCACGCGGGCGAGCTTAAACACGATCGGGCGAAACTTGCTGACTACGCATTTTTTAGCGTCCCTCCACGTGTATGATACAATAGTTAGGGATATACACAAGAGAATATGTTGTTGTCTGGAGTTTTATAAGTACAGCTCTGGCATTTTGCTGTTATTGTCAAGTGATTCCTTTAATTTAGCTCCTAGAGGAGTAAAAAATCTGATACTATATGAAATAGCATTAGTGTTATATATCTAAAACTTATATATTCGGGGTATACAGCTATATGTTTTGTTGTTAAGTAATATATAAATATTATCAAGCGTCAAAACGCTGAGAAATAGCATGCGGTAAGAGTTATTATGTATCTACAATTAAACTAATATTTAAATCCCGGTCTGCCATATGAGGTCTATATACGAGAGAATATGTTGCTGTTTAGAGTTATATAAACACATGGAAATTTTTTTAGTTTGATAGTTTATTTGACACTAAAACTTACAGCTCCAGAATATAACTAATTCCACTGCTGAAATATGTTAGGTTTACAAGGATATTAAAACTAATTTTACATGTATTTGTTTAAGAAAACGAATAAGATTAGACTAAATACTTAAAAATACACATTCACATATATATACTGTATGCGCAGACTTATAATTTGTTACTAAAACACTCACTAATGCTAATTTAGATTAGGTTAAAAACCAGCATATTCGCGGTAAAAAAACAGTTTCTAAGTTATTCAAAAAACTTATTAGAGTTATAAGTGATAAAACTGTTCCTAAATCTGTTCGTTTTATGAAGTGGCACGTTAAATTTCCTATTTTTACGCAAAAAATGACTATTGTCATTATTTAATGGCGGTAACAAATCCGTTAATTTGTGCTCAGGATTATTGACTACGTCCTTAAAAAGTTTTGTTGTTAATTCCTGTCTTCTATCGTACAGTGATGGGGTGTTCGTGTTCCTCAATGCTTCTTTGTAGTGTTGATCTGGGAATATTATTCGAAAAGCTCGTTTCTGAAGTCTTTCAAGATCATCAGACAGATATTTGGGTAATGAGTCGTGAAATGCTTGGCACGCATACTCGATGACTGGTCGAATACAGGTGGAGTAGAAAAGGATTAGGTCGTTAGCTGGTAATTTCGCTCGTTTTAGTTGTCTTAAAAAATATAGACGAGGTGCGACCTTTTTACAAACGTGTGAAATATGACTATTCCACTTCAAGTTATTTGAGATGGTTAGACCCAGCAATTTTACCGATGTTACACGTTCGACAATTTTCCCATTAATAGTAATTGGCTGGAACTCACGTATGCTTGGTGCAAAGCTCATACACAACTCTTTGCATTTTGATTCGTTTATCTGAAAACCGTTAGTTGTTGATTTCTGGTTGAAATTCATCTACGTACTTTTGTAAGTTACTTGGACCATCTCTACAAACTGATTCCGACAAGGATGAGTCGTCAACATATTTCCATAAATCATTAACGTCCTTAACGCTTAGATCATTAATCATAATACAAAATAACCATGGGCCGAGCTTTGTGCCTTGGGGGACGCCGGCTGGGACCTTGCCCCATTCGGAATGGCAATCTTGGCTGAGTTTTACCCTCTATTCTCGGTCAGTCAGAAAGTCTAAGATCCAAAGCATGACAGACCTCGGTATGTTATACTTTGTTAACTTCTCCGATAAAATATTGTGGTCTATTAAATCAAATGCTTTACGGAAGTCAAACGTCATAACTCGAGTTGTTGAACTGTTACCATCCGTATCCTTATTCCAAGTGTGTAGCATGCTTATAAGAGCATATGTCGTACAACTATCCGGCACCGTCCCAAATTGTTTACTATCGATCAATTCCATCACTGCTGGCTGCACATAAATCATTACAACAAATTCTTCTGCGAGTTTCGATAGAATAGGTGTAAGTGAAATAGGGCGTAACTGACGATTGATATCCTGGATGGGCTTTTCTTTCGGTATTGGAACTATGTCCGCCTTCTTCCAAACTGGCGGTAGGGTACATTCCCGATATGAACAGTTCAAGATGGCCGCTATCGGACCAGCTAATAGATCTGCGTTTTCTTTTAGGAGCCACGACGGTATGCCATCCGGACCATGAGCTTTTTTGGGATTAAGTTTGAGAAGGTTTTCGAAAACAGCATTCGATGTTACAGTAATTACTGTATAACTTTGTGCAGGTTGGATGAGATGTTGACGAGGTACTGAGGATAACGGCACATATCTAGCCATAGGAGCCAAAAAGGCATTATTAATCTCGTTGGCTAAATCTCTTTTATCAGAGCTAGAAGGGTCATCTCCTGGTCTCAGAGCTTTCACAATTTGATCTGAGGTTCCCCCGATTACATTCATTCCACTAAGCTTTTTAACCTCTTTCCACCATGCTGATGGTTTACATTGTTTTAAATGGTGAACGCTATTTTCGTAATATTTTGCCCGACATTTTTTTCTTTGGCGGTTGATTTGATTCCTCAGCCTTTTAAATTCTGTAGTTCTTTTCTGATTAAGGGCTTTTTGTCGTTTCCTTATAAGACCTTTCAAAGTTGTGTTCATCCATGGAGGTTCATTTAATCTAACAGTTTTATTACGTAGCGGAATAATTGAATCCAACCCATTATTAATTATTGTGATGCTCTTTCAAGCTGTGATGAAATATTTGTTTAGACTTGCCTATAGATCAAAATTTTGGTTATAAGGGGGAAGGTCAATTGTCTCAACTAATCATCAAATAT